CACACCCACATGGTACACAACTGTCTGTAACTCCCCCAACCCCCAGGAATCTGAAGTCTCCTTTTGGCCTCCCAGGGCACCAGAGCAGCCAGCACATGGTAAAAATATATACATGCAGGTAAAAAGACAGCCATATACCTAAAAGTAAATGCATCTTCCAAAAGTACCATAAGCATATTCTTCAAAGAAAGTAAGCAAACAATGACAGCATCCTCTCACAGTCTTGAAAGAAAGCATCTCTGTGAAACAGGAAACTGGGAGCTTGGAGGAAGGACCAAGGCTTTCATAACAAAGCCTGTAAGAAGTTCTGGGCGAAACTGTGCTGGCACAATACAAAGTTCGATTGGCAAGGGCAGAGACTAGAGGCACTTTTAAAGCTTCTTACAAAAGTTCAGAGACGCTCATAACCAGTGGGAGTTAGTAACCTGTCAGATGGGAGGTGCAAGGGGGACTGGAAAACCCAGCTAAGGTCAAACAAAATTTTCAGGTTACAGAAAAACATGAATAATAATAAGTCAACTGTTCGAGTTTCATCTTGGATGAGGTTAGCAAAAATGTCATTATTGAGACAGTGGATGTGAAGACATAGACATCGAGGGCCTTGGGAGAAAGTGCCTTCCACGCAAGCCAGAGGACCTGAGTTCAAATCTCAAGAAAGAGAAAAGCCAGGTGTTGCATCAGCCACTTGCAATCCCATGATCGGGAATTGGAGACAGGAAGATCCCTGGAGCTTGCTGGCCAAGAGGCCTTGTCCAATCAGTGAGCCCTGAGCTAATGAGGGGCCCTGTCTGTAAAAACAAAGTGGGGAGCTCCTGAGGTTGACCTCTGGCCTACGTGTTCATACGCGTGCTCACTTGACCGCACATGAGCAATACATACATACGGAAGAAAATAAATGGGAGAAATGAGAGGAAAGGGGCAGATTTTAGTGTGTAGGTTTGACTAGCTGTACAACCGCTTCTCTGTAGAAATCTCTGGTTTCAGGCAATAAATTTGACTTAAGAAGTTAGAAGAGAGATCGGGGCTTAGAAAAAAAATATATGAGAATCATCTCTAGAAGGCAGTAATCAAGATACACAAATAAAGATAGCTCAGTAAGTGGTATAGCCGAAGAAAAAAGACAATGCAAATGAGATTCCCTGTAACAAAGGACTGGAAAGTAGTTCGTTTTTCAAAACGAGAAGTCTGAGATAAGAAAATATATTTTATGGAAGTCCAGAAAAAAGTGTCAAATTTCGAGCAGCTGGTTCATACGGTACTGGTGACCTTGGTACTGGCGTGGTCTACTGCAGGTAACTCTACAGTTGTAACAAGTATAGCTTGTAATACTGCCCCCCGCCAAAGCTCATGTACTTAAGGTGTGGTCCCCTGCCACCACAGCCAGTGGCTGGATCATGAGAGCGCCAACTTCTTCAGGGGGTTAATTCCTTGATTGGGTCACTTTATGGTGGCACCATTATGAGGTGGGGCCTTAGGTGGACAAAGTAGGTCACTCGGGCCGTGCCCTGGAAAAATAATACTTTGTCTACACCGTCCCCAGTGTTCCACCCTGCTTCTCTTACATTTGTCTCTCTCTGTGTTTCTGCTTCCCAGCTGACTGCTCTGTTGCAGCCGCTCTCCTGGGATGTTCTGTTTCATCACAGATCCACAGCAATGGCACCAAGTGACCTTAGACCAAAGCCTCTGCAACTGTGAGCCAAGATAAACATCCCCCCTCTTAACTTGTTCATGCCAGGCATTTTGTCACAGAAACAAGGAAAATCAGGTGGACCTCAAAAACATGCGCTAAAACCTGAAAACCCTGCTGGTGGTGTCACTTCTAGTTGTGAAATAATCTTTGTGTACACTGTGAAGATGGGTCTTTGCCAAGCCACCTTCTGATTGGTTTAATAAAGGGCTGAATGGCCAATAGCTAGGTGGAAGAGGCTAGGCGGGACTTCCGGGGAGAGAGACAAGGGGAAATGGATCTAGGTGAGAGGACACAGAGAGGAAACGGCAGGCGCAAGATGAAGAGAGGTACAAAGCCACAACACAAATGGTAGATTAATATCGAAGGGACCAGCTCCCCTTTCGGCAGCCATAACAGCCGAGCGTGTGCTTGCCATAAACTTGCCTTGGTCACTTAGAGGTCAGATGCCTGCCTCGTGACAAGGAAACAATCAGAAGTTAGCTGGTGGCGCTATGCTTTATGACCCTGGGTGTGCTTTACGGACAAGCACACAGCAATGACGCACAAAGTATAGCACCCACCCTGGGAGGGCCTATGGGCCATAACAACCGTTTGACCAATCAACACAGGGCAAGCCCTCCAAGCCTGGAGGCACACCAATCCTGAGCCTGTGCATACCCCTAGACACTCTGCTTACTGCCCTATAAGATCTCTTGGGAGGCCCTAAGAGCTGTCTTTTCTAGCCATCCCCTATGGCGGGTGGGTGAAAGACCTGAGCTAACATGGGGTTAGCTCGTTAAATTACAATAAAGCCTCATGCAGTTTGCAGCAAGCTCTCGAATCCGCCTGGCGATTGGGGTGACCGCAGTTGTGGCCTGGGACCCTGGATACCTGAGTTTTCTGGGGGGGTCTAACAATATACTTTAAGTTGTATGGGTATTTGGCCTGCATGTGCATGCCTGGTGCCTAGGGAGCCAGAAGAGGGCATCAGATCTCCTGGAACTGGAGTTACAGATGGTTGTGAGCTGCCATGTGGGTTCTGGGAATTGAACTTGGGTCCTCTGGAAGAGCAGGCAGTTTTCTTAACCACTGACTCTTCTCCAGCCCAATAAAACAATGGAGTTTTCTGGGTCGAGTTAGAGCCACTACGATGGCTCCAAGGTCACTGTAGGCTCCTAAGAGTTCTAAACTGCTGACTGGCATGACCACACTCAGGTCACTTTCCTGGTCCCATAAATGTTCAAAAGCACTGGTTCCCAGTATTAGGGCAGGGGCCAGAAAGGAGAGAAGAGAGCTTCCATTGTCTCCTGAGGAAGTATTTCGTCACAGCCTCACACAGCTGCTTCTATTCCTCAGACCTTCTGTGATCACAACTAAAGGTTACGAAAGACAATTAGGAAGTGAAATGTTCCATTTAGGCCGACTTTTCTGTGTCCTGACAGCCACTCCCAAATAACCACAATGAGACTTATTTTTAATTATAAATGCCCAACCAATAGCTTAGGCTTGTTTCTAGCTAGCGCTTACAACTTAAATTACGCCATATTTATTAATCTATGCGCTTCCCCAAGTCTCGTTTACCTCATCTATGACCTTCCCATGTTGCTCTGGCTCTCCATTCCTCAGACTTCACCTTCCTCCCCATCCCTCTCCCCCTCCCCCTCCTCCTCCTCCTCCTCCTCTTGTTTTTCTTCCCAGCATTCTCTCAGTCCAGTTCCTCCTCCTAACCTTATCCTGCCTGGCTATGGGCCAGTCGGCTGCTTTATTAAACCGATCACAGTGGCATATGTTCACACAGTGTAAAGGAATTTCTCACAGTTCAATTCTGGGTAACTACCAGAAAAACATTCTTGCAAGGTATAACAGTCAAATTCAGTACAATTTCCCCCTCAATCCAGTGTCATAAGGAAAGCAGAACAAAACAACAGAAAGAACATAACATGACTCTTTCCATGATAAAAATCATAAATGGCTTTAAATCACCAATTAAAAGTCAGAGGATTTAAAAATAACACCACATTCCAGCTGTTTTTCTTGTTTGAGTTTTTCATTATTCTTTTAATAGCACACTAAGTAATTGTTTTACCGCGGCACTGTCATACACCTCTGTTCTTATTTGTCTCCATTTCCCACTTACTCCCTGGTCCCCTGTCCCTTCTACTCCATGTCACTTGTACTCCTTGTCTCTTCCCCCCCACACCTGCCCTTCAGATCTTATCTCCCCCTTCTGTTCCATTGTCTAGCTTCGTGACCTATGTAGACACATGTTTACACAGGCGGAGGGTTACACAGGCGGAGGGTTACACAGGCGGGGTTAAAACCAGAATCTCCACATGCGGAGGGTTACACAGGCGGAGGGTTACACAGGCGGAGGGTTACACAGGTGGGGTTAAAACCAGAATCTCCACGTGAGAAAAAGCATGATGGTTTCCTTTCTGAGTGGCTTATTCCACAGCATATGACTATATCCATTTCCCTCAAAATATCATTGTTTCACTTTTC